CGTAACTTTACCCCCAGTAAGAGACCCCAGGGTCATAGTGTGACTGGAAGGATTGGGTAAATTGAAAAAACAACCTCATCGGGATTCGATCCCTCGTCTTTGCGGCTTGTAGTATAGTGCATCAACCAACTACGCTACCGCGTGCCCCCATCCATGAGAGACAATTTCAAATTTAACAAAATTCTTGGAATAGCAAAAGTATTTAGTCATTGTTTAGTAAATAACACTTGAAAAGGGACCTTATGCGTTATTGACTTCTGAGTCAATTTTGCCCTGGACTCGCAGTCCATGGATTCTTGTAAAGAAAGGATCTGAAATGGGTAAGGTCGGGAAGTAATCCGGCTGTGGATTGCCCGATCATGCTCCCAATATCTCTTCTACACTTCACTAAATCCAAGGCGTGTAAACCAGCCTACGAATACTTAAGGACAGAGAAAAGACGAAAATCCCATCATCAATTGTGTGTTGTAAAATGCTCACTCAGTACACAATAAGCAGCATTGCTGTGTTCTCACAGGTAATCTGCTGGAATGTCTTGGATTTATGAGCCGGCGGGAGCGTGCTCCCACATTACTTACAGCAGAGGGTGTTCAGAAAACAGGAAACTCCTGTCTGTCTCAAAAAGGAAAACACGAAACAGTTCAGAGACGTATATCACGGATCACTCGAGATTTTCCAAGTGCAATCTCTGTTATTTTTACATCTTTCTTTTGTCTTGAGTCCGTTTATTGTAGATAGTTGTCCCTGTTCTTAACTAATTAAGCACTACACCATGAAGGCGTATGTGGGAGTGAATGTATTTCCCCCCCCTTGACACTACAGCCCCCGTGGGCCTAGGCCTACCTCCATGAACTTCTCCGGTCACTTCGGTTTTTCTAGATCTTAAACATACGGTAGGACTCCTTGGGCGGGTGATCAGCTCGTCGCAAGGCCTCTACCTGTACACAAACACAGAAAAACGCGCACACACAAACTAAACATCCATGCCCTGAGTGGGATTCGAACCCACGATCCCGGCTTCCGAGCGAGCGAAGACAGTGCACGCCTTAGACCGCTCGGCTACCGTGACCGGCGGGAGTGAATGTATAGATCCATGTTTTCTTGACCTCGGCACTAGTTGGAGGTGAATGGTACGCTTCACGCCCCGGCCGCTTTACCCCCGGGAAAAGAGCCCCCGGTACTCACTGGATAAGAGGTTTGGTGGACCCCAAAGCCCGTCTGGACGACATGGAGAGTTGAAAATTCTTGACCCTACTGGGACTCGAACTCTGACCCCTCTGTCGTCCAGCCCGTAGCCAGTCGCTATACTGACTGCGCTATCCCGGCTCTCCTTGCACACAGACATAAAATGTTAATTGTAATTCTTTAAATATTAAAAAAAATTAAATATGTTATGCTTCAGTTTTTTTGCTGAGAAATGCTCGTCAGATTTGACGGCTTTGGTATAGTTTTACGGTACGTTTCGCGCGAACACGATTATCTCAGAATTAACTGTAGAACTGTTGTGTCGGTGTGAACGTGTGCATCTTCGTAGTAGTGAAGGCAGTGAAGCATTTCTCATGATATTTCACATGAGAGTTATGCCATTGCTTGGCCTTGCATCAGATATTAATCCTGAGTGACTGTCACGAACATCGGTGTGGGACGCTTCCGCAGATTTCGAGGTTTCAAAGCGTACAGTACGAAGAATTACATACAAAACTATGAATTCTTCATTTAAAACATGGCATTCCCCAGACGTTAAGTAGAAGCCTTACTCTTCAGTGCTTTGTGTGATGTAGGGTCATTTAGTTTCAGGGACACGTTTCATTGTATTGTGAAACGGCAGCGTAGTTAGTTAAGGCACTACGCTACAAGGCGGAAGGTCGCGGATTCGATTCCCGATGAGGTCATTGGATTTTTCACTTGACCTAATCCTTCCAGCCTCAGTATGGCCCTGGGGTCAGATCAGGCTCTAGCATAAATGAGTACCAGGAATCTTCTGGGAGTAAAGGGCGGCTGGCTCTCGTAAGGCTGACAACCTTGCCGCCATCTGTGAGCCAGTTGTCTAGAAAATCCTTCTAGCCTCACTATGGCCCTGTGATCGACTCAGCCTCTAGCAGAAATGAGTACAAAGAATCATCTGAGATTAAAGGGAGGTCTGCGTGTAAGTCTGACAACCTTACCGCCATCTATGAGCCGATTATCTAGAAAATATGGGAGCCTCGATGTCTCACAACCCTATGGAACTTCACGACCTGTTAGAGGGATAGCTGTGATGTCATGTGGCATGATGCAGTGAACTAGGGTTGTGTAACATTCTCACTGCTAGGGGTTAGCGCATCTGGTTTAAATTCACATTGCAACAATTGAGATAATGTCGTTTAGCAATGCGTTTTATAATATAAACCACGGGAGAGGGGTTCTCTGTCGAATCGCCGAGTTAGAAAAGAACGATAGAAGTCAGTGGGAACTGATCTGACGGCGGCATTGGTTACTGCATTTCCAGTTCAGGATGTAGCGAACACTGGCTGCAATGATAATTCTTTGGTAATTTCAGCGAATAAAACTGAGTAATTATGCTTTCGTAAACAGTCTGAGACCCAGTTCTCACATGACTGTTGGCCTGTGTTGTTTCGAGGCGGACAGCGCTGAGCTTCGATGCAAGTAGCCACCTAGTTGACGAACAAATTACTTGGTCCATTGTCTCGTCTGGGGACCCGGTTGATATTCAGATGATCAGTCTGTCACCACAAAATCCGCTATCCAGCCCGTTCCTCAATGAGTTCACATCTTTGCAAAGAAATTCCTAAGATGGCTGCAGTTTTATTCTTCGCTATTTCATTTCACCTGCATTCGATAGGAACCCTACTCAAATCTCGGTCGAGAAGCCAGTTATAATGAGACTTTTCGCAGTTTATCTTCATTGGTTGCTATATATATTTAAGAATTATGTCACCGTCAACAGAACAAATACAATACATATATATTCGCCGTTTGTTTCAATCCGAATGCCGGGACAGTGGCTCGGAACGTGTCGTGACCAGAGCCAGATCCCTTCAGTTTCACCATCCACACGCCGCATTCAGTACTAAACAGTTGATGTACCGGCGCTTGTTACATCATTAAGTAACCATAATTTTCTGTACGCGTAGTCCTAAATACCGATGTCAGTGGCCGCGCGGTCTAAGGCATGAACCGTCTTCGCCCGCTCGAACACTGGGGTCGTGGTTTCAAATCACACTGGAGGCATGGATGTCTTTATGCGTTTATTCTGTGTTTGTGTTTTTCTGTGTGTAGGTAGCGGCCTTGCGACGGGCTCATCCCCCGTCCAAGGAATCCTACCATTTCTTTAAAACGATAAAGAAACTGAAAATGCGGCCAAGGTCCACAAGGACCGTAGAGTCACAGGTAGATAGATAGTCCTAAATACATTAATAAGCCTCCTGTCTCCTCCCTGGTGTCTCGAGGCTCCTGTATGTGAGGGTTTGTAACCGTAATTTTATATGTGCATTCATGTTTTGTTGCACCAGTTACAAGTTCGGCCCATCCCAACCCTGTGTGAAAATGGTCTTGGACTACCCATTATGCTGTCACTGCGTGCAAAGCGCGCTTTCTGAAAGTTGATTTTTAGCAGACCTGCTTATTTCAGCAACTACTAGCAAAACCAAAACTATATGAGGAAAAGTAGGAATGCATACAGTCGTAAGTTAATTCTGTGAAACGATACGTTACAAACAGACGGGAATACGAAATGTAGGAAGGGCAGGTTTTAATGTCGGAGGCGGAACAGGCCAAATGACTTGATGCGTGAAGTTACTGACCATGATGACGATGACTACGACAATGGGAACGACATAGACCGCGCTGTGCCTTGCGTAGGAATTGTACGCTGGAATGTCTGACCAAATTAGTGGAGACAGCCTGACATGAAGGGAGCGCATTGCAAACAGACTGGAATCGTCTTAATCCTTCGCGGCAGGCTTTCATGTTGGGAGAAAAGGTTATCTTTTTGTTCACAATCCTCTTGTAGTAGGCAGAATTTTTGTGAAATTTTTGGTGGGGCGGAGAGTACCTCTACGTGTTGAGATTTTAAGTTAACCGGCTTAAGTGGCATTCCATCGCATTGTCCGTCTCGCAGCGCCCCCCCCCCTCCGCGACCCCCCTCACATCTTACTTGATGTACAGGCAGTTTACCAAACAGGAGGATGTTTGTCTGTCTGAAAGTGGTTGCTTCTCAATTTTCTGTGCTCTGTTCTTGCGAGTTTGTCACTGGAATAACGTTTAAAATTCGGTGTGAAGGGTTGGTCTTCATACTAACCACCATGAGAAGTTCAAGTGTTAATTTTGGGGGGTTATTTTACGACTTCGTCAGTAGCTAGACTGTGTAGCCTAAAATTGTAGGACAATGGATGAGTTAGAAAGTCCTTGGAACGAAACTGTAATGATCTTATTAAGGTACTATCCCAGCATTTCCCAGGATTGTGGAGAAACGCGAAGATGGGATATCCAGTTACCCAGCTTAGATTTGAATCAAACTCGTCTCATATGGGTCTAGAGCGTTACTTATGTGCCACCTTGCTAAGTGAAAATTGTTCTGTTTTCCCTGATAAAATATCGGTAAGAAACAAGATGTGGAGGGCTCTTGTAGACACGGTAATGAACCTTCAAGTTCCATAAAATGCTGGAAAATTCTTAAGTAGCTGCACAATTGGCAGCTTCTCAAGAAGGGCTCATCTCGATAAGTGAGTGAGCGAAGAAACAAGATGCATGAATAAAGTACCAGTATTCATGTCAGTGGAATAATTGAATTGTGAATCTGCATAATAAAAGGTAGATTTGTTTGGTTGAGCTCGAATTGATGTAAACATGCCTTTATAGTGAGATGTTTAGTAGTGACATCATTATATCAGTATTAGTGATAACATAGAAAAGTAGCACTCTATAGTTTGTGACTACTGAGTCAGTTATCTTTGAATATATTTGAAACATTTGCTTCAGAATATGTTTTTTTTTTCTAGGTGTGCAGAGGGCTTTATCGGACAGAGATGCGAATTCAAAGACCTGGACGGATCCTATATGCGTAAGTATGAGCCCATTTGATCAACCTTCTGTTGTGAACCAAAGTTAATTTTACTTTTTAATATAGTAAAGCAAGAATCAGTATAAGAGTTTAATTTATGATCGTACCTTTCAGGAATAAACCTTGTTAAATCTTGTAGGTTTTCCAGTGTTTTCTCAAACATTGCAGTTGACAACTTCAGGGTTACTGTGGTTGAGCAGTTTCAGAAGCTTTTGGGTAAATCTCTGATGCTTGTTGCCAAAGGCTGAAGTCATACATTAAACTCTAGTAGTAAGGACCTAAGGACAGGAGTATCAGATTAATGAAGCACATAAGCTATGCTGATGATATCAGTTTAGTGGGCAGGAAAGTAAAATATCCTTAAAAAAGACAAATCTCATAAAATCCTGTGTACTGTTGATATACGAATGAACATGTAGTTAGCTTTCTTTCGCTTTGCATGGATACCAAAGTCACTTGATTCAAATGAGGGGAAAACCAAGTGTTGTAGGATTTAGAAATAAACATGTGATAGGATCAGTTGTAATTGAGATATGTCAGTAGGAAATTTCAAAATATTGAGAAAGGACTGTATATTGTTTCTAAATAAAAATATCATAAATAAAAAGTCAGGACCTGATTAGGAACTAATAAGTATGTTTAACGAGGAATAAACACAGAAAAAGGCATTAGTTTGTCTCATAAGAACACAGGGCAATAATAAAAGAAGAATTTCTCTGAAGCCTTTGAAACTGTGGAAGAGTTCAGATGTTTGGGAACAACAGCAACACATGAAAATGATATTCATAATGAATTTAAGAGCAAATTAATTTCAGAAAGTTCACATTCAAGTCGCTTTGGAACTTCTTACCTTTCCATGTTCTTTCTAATACTTGAACACTAAATATGTCAGATTATCATTTTACCTGCTGTTTCATACAGAAATAAAATGTGGTCTGTTAGTAAGGTAAAGTTGTCCCTGGGCATAATTAAATAAGCGCTATGCCATTAAGATGAAAGAGTGGACGTTTAGCTCCACCATTCTTGATCTCAGCACTGAATAGAAGTGAGTGGTCAGCTTCATGCCCCGGCTGCTTTACTCCAGTGAAATCGGCCCTGGTACCCATTGAATAGGAGTCTGTCTGGGTCCCAGAGTTGTTCTGTATGCTGTGGAGAAGCGAAAAATCTTGCCATACCGGAAATCAAACGTAGGCTGTCCAGCCCATAGCACAACCCTATACGAACTGAGCTATCAAAACTCCTATGTTAGTAAGGAGATAAACTGACTTTGATTACAGTTTCTGATGAGAAATGCATTCTTCTCATTGCATTGTTAAGGTGATTAAAGCAATAAGGATGAGGTGACCTGGACAAGCCACAGACAGGAGGGAAATGGGAAATGTTCGACAAGAAGAAGCAAGTTGTGTGACTTTATAGATGAGAGGATAGTAATAAAATGGATCCTCAAGAAATAGATTGTGAGAATGTTAACTGGATAGGATACAGTGGATGGCTGACAGCAGTGATAAATCTTGTTTAGGATAATAGTCCAGGAAGTTAGCTAGTTGTACTGCTTGTTACTGAATTCAGGCAAATAAATGTTTGCAGCGTCAAAGCAACGCAACATGTTCCAGACAGCAAGCATAGCAGGTGGCGCCACAATAGCAGTGTTCTTGGTTGTCATCGTGTGTGTAGCTGTGTATATTCACTTGCAACGGAAACAGAAAGAGACTCGAGCCAGGTATGTTTCATTTCAATATTATCAATATAAATACAATCTAGTGATGTATCTTTTTGGGCACCTTGTAGTTGATTGTATACTGTCTTGTCAAAACATACAGTAGAGAAGTCCATTCACATGCAGAATTATTCTGTTGCTAATCAGTTACAAATCGGTGGCAGGAATTCTGTTAGTATGTATGAGAAACATTAAATTCATGAACAGTTTCGGTTGCAATCCCTCTAAGAGAAGAGAGCGTGTGGAAGATCTAAGCAGTCCCTTTTTTGTCCAGCTGGTATGCATACCAACAAACCTCTGAAAAGGCAAAAGTTGCACATCTATTAATGCACTGCATGTTTTGATCTTGAGATGAAAACTATCCATGAGAGTATGAGCAACCATGTTTTTAGAAAAAAAGAGAACTGCTTTATATAATCATAAAAATATCATATTAAAATGGTTCTTAGAGAAATAGACGTAAAGATTTGAACTGAACTAAACCAGCCCTGAATAGGTCTGGTTACAGGCTTTTTTAATAATGGTGACAGAACTTTGGGTTCCATATCAAAAGGGAAACTCTTGACAGCCACATTACCTACACTTCTCAAGGAAGCTCTTGTACCATAAAGTTAATCATTCAGTTACAAATGTATGGAGGTAACAATTTCTCTAACTTCTTGAAGGTTAAATGACCCTGAGGGCACCAAATTAAGACAGTTTGTAGGATAAAAGGTAAAGCTGTCCCTATAACGGGCCAGACCCCTAGGGTTGTGAGACATCGAGGCTCACACATTTTTTAGACAGTCACCGCACAGATGCATGATAACTTATTAAGAAATCAGGATTTGTTTAGATCAGGACAACAGAGTCACAAAACGCTTCTTAATATTCTCTTCAAAAAATATTGTACATTTCAGCATAAAGTGAGCAGATAGTCATTCCACCTGTCCAGCACATCTTTCATCCCTGAAATTCATTTCTAAACCCTGGAACCAAGATAGGAATTTGAATTGCCACAGTGCTTACTGATTGAAGATATCTTTCATTCATATACACTGTTTAAATGACTGTCTTTGCAAAATGCACGTAACTGTCAATTAACTATATTTGCAGAATGAATTATATATTTTGTTTAATGTAGACATTTGTATACAGGAAGCTATTTTAGGACAACTCTATTAAGCTGAGGGAACACAGAAGCAAGCAGTCTTCTGAGATATGGCGCCGTGTAGATATTAGGTTACCAACGAACATATTGCCTCCATCTTCATGAGACATTAGTCTATTAGTACTTGCACATGCTAGTTCTTCGCTCACGGATTTTCTTTTTTCTTCTACCCTGAAGATGGAGGCGATACGTTCCTCTGAAACGTCGGTTAACACAATATCTACACAGTGCCATATCCCAGAAGACTGCTTTCTTCATAATCATCGCCGTGAAAACCTCAAATTTTACTAAGGGAACATAGGTTTACTTCCTTCATTTATTGTATTATTTTTACAGCTGTGTGGACGGTAACAGTCAAGATCCTGAAAGAGAAAGACGACCATTCAGCCGTTCACTGGCAATCCCTATTATTCAGCAGACTCATACAACACGTGTAAGTACTATGTTTACAGACTGCATGTGAGAGCTGTCGACCTCTCTTAGGAACAAAAATCAATAATAACAACTAAACCAATACCTAGTGCATGACATTGATCAAAGTGATATGTGATAATTGTCAAAAAGTAAAATTTGTTTCACTAACCACCCGAAGTTGACATGATTGTAGTTACCCACTGCTGTACCAGGCCGCGCCATAGCTCAAGCGGTTAGTTGCTGGCTTCCCACCGTGGCGGCCCGGGTTCGATCCCGGGTCTGGTCAAGTGGAATTTGAGGTGGACAAAGTGGCGCTGGGGAAGGTTTTCTCATAGTACTTCGGTTTCCCCTGCAAATCTTCATTGCACCAATTGCTCCACAATCACCCTCACCTATCATCTGGGGCCAGTACAACAGGCCAGAAGTGGCCGCAGTACAAGGGACTTAGTCCCACCCCACTAGCAATAAAAAAAATAATGCCCACTGCTGTTCCCTCTGTTGGTCAGATTTGTGCACTACACTTAAGTAATTCTGTTGATACATGGTAATCTCTGTCGTCATCTTCTTCTTCTTCTCCTCCTCCTCCTCCTCCTTCTTCTTCTTCTTCTTCTTCTTCTTCTTGGAATAGGCTGTTCACTTTATTTTATTTCCAGAGTCGTTCCTAAGATATCATTTTAACCCATTTCTTCATTTGAATTGAGTAAAAATGTTTTGAACATGGCTACATACTTTCTAGGGTATGGTCCATTTTGTCGTATATTACCATTTCTTTGTTTCATGTCAAAGAAGCGAAGCAACTGACAGTTCAACATCCTTGAATACTAATGTGTTAAAATGTGATTTTAGTTCTAGTGTAATGCATTGTGTTAGTGTCATTACTTCAGTATCAAGGCATTACTCTTGGGAAGCACATTTGTACCAGTTCTATTCTGCCTTTTCAGACCTTTTGTCAGAAGTTCTCTTTTTCTGATTCATATAAAAGATTTGATATTTCAGTATCATAAAATTTAATGAGTTTTCTCCCATACTTTATAACTAAAATTTTTCATGTTGTTCAACATGTAGATAGAAAAATGTAAGTATTGCATGAACACAAACCTTTTTACTGCATAACTACTCAGATTCATTATATGTTCAGTTGTTGATAATACCTTAGCCTTTGCTGATTGTTTTCCTCCAGAAGCTAATATTTTAGCTTGCTTGAAGGTAAATTTGATCCATTTAGATATTTCATTAGTTTATACATACATAGTTGTCTGTAGGTTACCATCAGTATAATCACTTCTCTTCAGAAAAATTAAGGGTACTTAGGTGGCTTTTATATAAACTTAGTAATTTCCTTGTTTTTCTTTCTGCCATTCTCAGTCACTACAATTTTGCAATATAAACTTTATATTTACAATCCCTGATGTTTAGGCAGACCTCTCTCAGTAAAATATTACTTTAATGCCAGTAATTATGTGTACCTTCCTTTGCAGGAACCTTCAGCACCAAAAGACCCTGGAGGTGTGCCTGAGATTCTTCTCCATTCATCCACAAGAGCAGCACCACAGCATGGCAGTAATCAACAGCAGCCTCCACCATAGTGGCAGCACAGTGAGATGCGATGCAAAGGGGTATCTCCATTGCTTCGTAGCCTACGTGTTGCTAGTCCACTGTCCACCTGCTCCCCCTCCTTTATCTTCTCAGTATAGGACAGAAGGACAGACAATGTATTTATTGTGTACAATATTGTGGGTTTAGTTACTAGCAAAAGAGAAGAGAGAGAGAGTCTGATGTGTGGTGGCCGGAGTGTGTGGAATGCTTTTATACTGAATTTCTGAAACATTTTGCTTGTTGGAAATTAGACAGAACAGAACTGCCATGAGGAGGGATGGCATGAACTGTTAATTTCTCGTCATGAAGTCCAACATCTTAATAATTTATTTACCCCCTGATGAAGACTGTACATAACAATTTCCTGCAGCAAGTCAGAAAAATAATCAAGCGTCAATGTTCTGATGGTGTTTGTGACACATATTTGCCTCGCAGCATCTGAAGATTGCTTTCCAAGATATTTGTGAACAATTCAGGAACCCTGAAGAAATTGGACATGTAAACTATAACGGCTGAGATTACGCTTCAGGATCCAGGCGGATCCATCTATCGACTGAAATGCTTATACAAGATGAGGATGGAGAGGAATGTGTAAATTGTGTACTATTTTTTTTTTGCCTCTCTCTGAAGCCCTACACAAAGTAAATATGGTGTTGTTAGCAATTTCTTTTACTGCTTCATGGCCTCAATATTTCTACCTGTTGGGTGGGCCCAATAATGTGTTCTGTGTGAGTGAGTGTGGAAGAGAAAGGATTTAACTATGTATAACACATTCCGGAACACAATAGCGTTCATGTCTATACACCAAAAATAATAACCATTAAACCAAATAATCTCAGGTTCTTTTACTTATACAGAAATTCAAGAAAATATAGATGGGTTAGTATTATTATACTTGCTTTCCTCCAGCAGCTCTATTTGATGTACCAGTACCATGAAATATTCCAGGCATTCTAGCACATTGCACAAAATTGTACATAAAGTGGAGGACAGGTGTGTATGTGCTTAACTGCTCTGTCACTTTTTCAATGAACAAAACAAGTCATCCCATTATATTTGTGGCAGCTGGAGAACATCCCATGGGAAGAGAAATTGAGCCAAAATTCTTTCTTATACATAAATGATACATCTTTCTCTAAATCACAGATATGTACATTTTGTAGATAATTATAAATTATCAGATCTTTTGTTTTTTCTGCCTGTGTACAAATTTTGCCATAATTCAGCTGAAAAAGAAATCCTTTCTAGTTTCTAAACTTTCTTGATATGTACTTGGTTCCTAATTTATTGTAATTTTTAGAAGATAATATCTTTGCTAAATTTGGTTATTATGTTTTTTATTGTGCGTGGTGTAGATAAATGTGGTGGCCTCTCTGGCAGCTATTTCCATCTGGTGGTGATTTGTGGAAGTTTCATTCCAGCTTTCTCGTTTGTTTTGCTTGCCTCTCATATTTGGCTGGAGTTATGTTTTATTCCATTTCCTTCCCAACAGACATTGGTTGAAGAAATACCAAAGATTCAAAGTAGGAAACAAAAGAGGTCACCTCCGATTTTATATGTTATGTATATTCATACCAAAGTGTCAGTCAAAACAGTCTGCTCAGAAATGCTTCATCTGTAGAAAAACTGGTGAAGTACATTCTGTTATATATATATATAGAATGATAAAAGCATTCTCCCAAACCAGTAAGAGAAAGATAAAAGAACAAAGCATGATCATTGGTATTATGTAAGCTTAAGACATACGTGTAACGTGTTTATCACAAGTCCCACATGCCCATATTAGAGTGTAGCTCAAAGAAATTAAACATGGGAAGGAAGATAGTAAGTAGACATAAAACAGTTTCCAGAGTAATGTTCCTAGACTATGATCATACTCCAACAGTACAGGTTATTTTAAATATGTCTACCATGGCTGCAGGGAGTCATCACAACACTGTGTGCAAGCTTGGTTATGTTGTAGCAGGCCATGACAAGTTCATGCATATATATGTTTTGGAAGACAAAATAACATAAAATCCTCACACCAAAGCCATAAACTGCAATATCTTTGTAATTTTAAATTATTTGGAGGCCTGTGTACAGTGTTGCGAGATGGTTACCAGGTGGTGTACTTGTGTTTGTAGAGTTATTTATTTAGTTGAGATCTTAGCGGTATCCAAGCTCTACAACTGTGGAAACATGATTGAATTTCTTTTAAGTGTGAGAATATATTCTGTTTGTTCTCGTATTCATTTTTACAGTGATGTTCATGAGCAAGCATATATCTCAAAATGTTTTCTTGCCGCCAGATGCCATCCATGGATAACAAGCTAGTCAGTCATGAGAGGTTCCACAGCTACATATAAATCACAGCTATGGCTGTTTTCAGTTGGGATCATCACTAACTGTCGTGATAATATGTTGTATGATATAGTAATTATTTTCCCATAATTGTAAAATGCTTTAATATGTAATTTAAAATTTATTTAATGTGTGATTATCATGAAGTACAACTGTTGTACATAATGTTTTTCCTCTGTTTTGTTCAGATTGAATCATTTTTAAAGAGAGTTGGTGTGTTCTCCTGTTTAATATGCATTTCAAAATATTTTGTTTCATTGCTGTTGTTATAATACCACAAGATTTGCTAACAGTTACTGTACCACCTCAATTTTACAAATTTGGTCTTTTAATAGTAGGGAAGTGTTTACTGGGCCATTTCCAAATCATTTAATACCAGGTCTTTCGCATACTCCACATATGTTTAACATTAGCATTGTATTAATTTCTTAGGTAAGGTTTGCTCTGTTATACTTTGTATTTTGGAAACAAAATGATGGGTGATGATAAGATCTGTATTAAAGAGAGATTGTAATATTTTACCTTTAGTCACAGATGCAGTGAAGTTTGCCACAAATAAAGTGTCATCTTGTATGATTTCTGCAGCCATGGTTAACAGTGATATATATTTAAGCAACATTTCATTGATCCAATCATGTCAAGTTGAATTCATGAATGGTTCAACATAGCAGATGTTTCCAGTATTCGTTTCACATTTCTCAACTGTTTATTTGTGGAAGTGTGAACCATTGAATAGCAATCAGGGTAAAACATTGCACTTTGCTTGAGGCATTTAAATCACCAGTATCATGAATCATCCACTTCCCCTTGTTATTTTCAAATGAGTGCTGATGTATTCCTTTTCATAATGCAGCAGTTAATTTGTGTGTAATGATCAACAGTAGTCCACTATATTTGGTTTTAACATTAATGTCATGTACATACAATACAGTGTCCTGAAGAATAGTAGGTCTTTCAGACCTTTAAACATCTCTTTATAAAGGCTCTGTTGTTATGGTCATATATGTTATAATATTGTATAAACAGTAAAGGGATTAGATATACTTCAGTAGTAGTAAACTGATTATGGTGATAATGCTCGGATGAGTAAGTGATGTCGTAAGTTCCAGGACACTGTGTTTTATGTCCTTAAAATTAATGTTTTACAAATACTGTTATTTTCTGTTTTGAAAAGTGGGTTTAAAAACACATTTTTGTACTGAAGAACATTTTTATGTAATATTTGTTGCAAGGTTGGGTGTATGATCTTCCACCATTACAAGTTCCAGACCTCAACTCCTCCTTCGTCCCATCTTATGCAACCACCAGCACAACTTAAAGTGACTAGGTCTGCCATTACACAACCTTTCTAATACAAGTAAAATCTAGACGAAGTTTAAGCAAAGAACTAATTTGAACAACAAAAGTTTAAGTAAGAATAACTTAGAATGGCACATTTGTTACCTATTTCCATTATTTTAATGGTGAGTTGATGTCTTAAGAATGAAGTAAAAAAGATACTTTTTGTTTAAAAGTAATAAAATAGAAACCACTCATACTGTGTTCCTTATCTTTAGAATACATATCCCTACCCTTTTCCAAGTACTTTCACGTCATATTATGACTTCATGAACCCACAGCAAAGGAGTTGTATGTGCAAGAGTGGATCTATGACAATTCTCAAATATTAGGACATATGATGCAAACACACTCTAGATCATTTTGATTTCATTCAGAGATGATGTCAGTAAATCTATTGTAGATGAATGTCATATGGGTATAATGATTAATTAAAAATTGTTTTTACGCTACATTATGTTGCATTGTGTTCCCTGGATCCAGAGTTAGTCAAATATAGGATGTGGAATATATCATATAAATACAAAAATTATGTATAGTGCAACTGAAATTTCCACACAAGAAAAAACAGTGGTTACACATGAGTCTGTTAAAAAATGTGTCCACATATATACCTCAATATTGTAAACTTATGCTCTTTACACAACCTTTAAATGGATTAGTTACTTTTTAGACAATAATTATTCATCAAGAGAGGAGAATGAGTATCATTAAGTATCATTTTAGTGCTATTTTAAATTGTGCTTCTTCATTCATAAAACATTTGAGATCAGATGGCAGAGTATTGAAACTTTTGATGCCAGCATAATATGTGCTTTTCTGAAAGCATAGAGGTTAGTAGTCGGTTTATGGAGATAGTGCTTGTGCCTTGTGTTACTGTGTACATCTGCATTGGTCTGAAAATGTTCTTCATTATTCGTTATGAAGTTTATTAATACAAATATGTATTCACATGGAAGAGTTAAAATCTCTAGTCTCATAAATAGATCTCTACAAGAATTACCAGATTTGACAACGATCATGAGTCTAACAGTTTTCTTTCACAATGTAAATACCTTTTTGCTGTCAGATGAATTACCCCAGAAAATTATTCCATACTTCATTAAATTGTGAAAGTAAGCAAAATAAGTGGATTTGAGCATGTCAGTGTTGCTGATATACAACATAGATCTAACTGCATAACATACTCCACCTAGCTTTGGAACCAACTGATTTACATGGTTTTTCCAGCTTAAATGATTATCAATTCGTGAGCCAAAGAATTTTGTGATTACTGCCTCTTCTATATATTTGTCATATCCAATGTTTAATGGTCAGTTTGGTGAGTTTTTTGTTACCAAATTTTTTACATTTGTTTTATCTAGATTCAGCTTGTTTACAAAAAAACATACAACATATGAGATAACTCATATAATTATTTTGTATTATTATTTATTTCAACTGCAAATGGATTTTTACTTGGTGGCAGTGATACTGCAATAAGACACTACACACAAATAACACACCACACCCAAACAAAACACAGCACACAAAACTACACAGGCAATAAAGGACACTCTACACTCAATGAATACAGTACAAATATGATTACAACTACAGTTAAATAAATTAATATTAATAAAAATATAAGTACTATACACTAAACAGTAACAGTACTGGAATATGTAATGTCATGACTGATGCACTGACATTTCACCCATGACCTTCCCTTCATTTCACTTCACTGCATTTTTGGATGATTTCTCCCACACCTTCACTTTGCCTTACATATCACCTTCCTAACCTTTTTCTTCAAATTACTTGATTTACAGGAGAGAGGCCCTAAAGCATCTGCAGGTAGTTGGTTCCAGAGCTGGTTTATCTTATATACAAAGGAATGTTATTAATTGTTTGATAGTGTGACGTGTTGCGCAGGGGAGAACCCCCCCCCCGCCAACGGTGAC